GCCGGGTTTGCCAGAGGGTCGGTACCAGGTGGCGTTTCAATTCCCAGTGAAGGCGTGACATCCTCGGGAGTTTTCCGATGGGGTTTGGCGCCCTGGAGGCCCCTCTTAGCCGGGCCTTTGTGCGCTGGGTGCTCGGGGACCCAGCGAGAAGAGAGGAATCAGGAGGGTGCAGCCCTCTGGGTGCTGGGAGGCTCTCGAAGACAGAACCTATTCGTGTTCGTGTAGACCGAGTTAAATCCCCTCCCCACCCCCTCTATTTTTTATCAGATACAAAATTTACAAATGTTTGGTGTAAAACGTAAGATTTTAAAGAAATGTCAGGTTTGGTGGGATCTCTTAGTCTTGAGCTCACAGGCCCTGGAAGGGAACTGATGATGATTTTCCTCCCTCCGAGGGATTTCAGTGAAAATCTGCTACTGCTGTGTATGTATGTTGTAATAAATATCAATTAAAATTATTGTTCAGGAGTAACCGCATAGTGTGTTTTTTTAAATTTGAACTGAGTGAGGAAAGCATATGCTTGTTTTACAGTATAATCAAACATATTTAAATGCAAAACTATATTAAAAAACATTAATGTAACATCTCCTGAACGTCAATTTAGTTAACATTTTAGTGGTATCTTCTATTACTGTTGCTATTGTTTAATTACTTGCTATAGATTACTGCATTTGAGGTAGAGCTTTTAAATTCTCATTGTGGATAAATTTCATTTCTCCTCTCCCCACTCCATTTTTTTGTTGTTGTTGTTAGTGGTGGTGGCGGAGAGGTAAAACTCAGGTAAAGACAAATTTTTCCTGGCAGTCACTATTCTAGTTTTACAATGACAGTCCCAGTGTTAACAATGATTTCTGAAAAATACAATTTTTAGAAAACAAATGTACAAAGTCTGTCCAGGAAAAGTCCAGCCATTGTTAACATAATAAGAACTATTTGCACTATGTCGACGTAACCTGGCAGCCAAGGAGAATGGACTGAAATGAACATGTGTGAGCAATGTTGACTTCACTGGAGTAGTTAGTGGAAGCAGTAGACACTACTGAGAGAGCCTATGTCCCGTGTGTTGCCGCATTCAAAACGAGCGAGTAGCGCAACAAATCCGTATCACATTTTTTTTTAAGCTCGAACATTCCTCCCTGAAAACTATTTGGACTACTGAGAAGGCTTCCAGGGACAGGTGACGCAATGAGTGCAGTACAAATAAAACTATGGCACAAACGCTTCGAAGATGGTTGAGAATCTGTTGAAAGTGATCCACGTTCCGGAAGGCCTGCAATAGGCAGAACACCTGAGAATGTTAACTATGTATGTCTGGAATCAACAAAGATCGGCGACTGACGTAAGAAACTGATCAGGGGATTCCAAAACCTACTGCGTCCCAAATTTTGACACAGGATCTTGGCACGAAACATGTGGAGAAATTCATTCTGTGGCTTCCGCTACCACAGCAGAAGGAACATGGTACTGCAGTTGCTAGTGACGTGATTCAGACCACTGCCAGTGAACCAGATTTCCTTAATAAGATCATAACCTGAGGTAAATAGTGGGTCTATGGCTATGACCTTGAAATGAAGGTCCAGTTGTCCTAATGGAAGTTGCCTGGTCCTCCACGCCCCCGAAGAAGGCGGGCGAAGGAGTTCTTGTCACAACAAGATTAAGACCATGTGAACTGTGCTTTTTAACCGGGAAGGTGTTGTCCATCACAAGTACACTCCTCCAGGCCAAACAGTTAACAAGGAGTACTGCCTCAATGTTCTTGGTCAGAAAAGAGATGCAGTACATAGAAAACCGCCTCAGCTATGGGCAACCGGTGATCGGCAGCTGCATCACCACAACGCACCCGCTGGCTTATACATCACATCTGCTGCAGGGTTTTTTAGCGAAACATTGAATCAATCAGGTGACTCAGCGCCCCTACAACCCAGACTTGGTGGCCTGTGACTTCTGACTTTGCCCTAAACTAAGATTACCTTTGAAAGGGAAGAGATTTCAGACCACCAGAGAGATTCAGGAAAATAGGGTGGGGCAGCCGATGGCAATTCCAAAAAGGATTTTGCAAAGTGTCTTGAACAATAGAAGAGAAGCTTGGAGAACTGTGTGAGGTCCCAAGATGCCTTCTTTGAAGGGGCCTGAGGTGTCATTGTCCTATGTACAATGTTTCTTGTATCTTGTTTCTTCAATAAATGTCTCTATTTTTCATATTACATGGCTGGGTATCTTCTGGGCAAACTTCATGTGTCACAAAAAACTCCAGCATAACAAGACAAAGGAGCTTTGGCTGGTCTAGCTCAGTGGACTGAGTGTGGACTTCGAACTAAGGGGTCACGGACAGGTTCAGTTCCCAGTCAGGGCGCATGCCTGGGTTGCAGGCCAGGTCCCCAGTGGGGGCCACATGAGAGGCAACCACACATTGATGTTTCTCTCCCACTCTTTCTCCCTTCCTTCCCCTCTGTCTAAAAATAAATAAATAAAATATTTTTTAAAAAGCCAAAGGAAAGTAACTCTACTGGGAACTTCACAAACATCACAAGTAAACTTTTCTGAAACTTTAAAATAAGATGTAAAAATAAAACAAAAGTGCCTAAAACATGAAGTTATCTGTGACTTGAAGTATGGAGAGAATTTGAAACTAAAGAGGTTGAGTGTTTGTAGAATGAGTCTGTTAAAAATAATGTTTGGCCCTGGCTGGTGTAGCTCAGTGGATTGAGTGTGGGCCTGCGAACCAAAGGGTCGCTGGTTTGATTCCCAGTCAGGGCATCTGTCTGCATTAAAAATAATAATGTTTGCCTGATTCATAAGTTGATATCTCTAAAATATCACCAGCAGCTTGGAAACTATGAGTTTGGCTTTGAAACTCTGGTATATTTTAGAAGAGACCTTTTGTATTTGTTTAAATACAAAACCAAAAAAGGAAGTTGGAAGATTAGCTCTAACTTTTTTTATATAGGGAGGATAAGAATATACAGAAAAAAGGAGCATGCTTTTGGTTTAGAACCCTAATAAAAATGTTTTATTATTAACAGGCTTGGTTCATTTTATTTTTCTTGTGTAAAGTTACATGGTGTTCACAGCCTGGAGCCTGGGTCTTCTGCACAGAAACTCTGGTGTGGGTCTTTACAAAATGGTCAGTGAGTTCCTACTAGGGAGACTTCGTGAGTGGTCTCTTTCCAGAGGTCAGGAGTGAGATCACTGTAAGGCTCAGAGATGGCATCGAAGGTGGCCTTGGCGGAGTTCGGGGTGGCGGCGCAGCTCCTAACTGAGGTGTAGCAGTCGTCAGTACCATCCGTCAGCAGCAGCTTCTTGGCCCCAGGGGCTGAGATGATGCCAGTGCCTCTGGCAGGGATGAGACGCACCGGCACACAGCCACAGTGCTTTGTCACCTTGCAAGGGACAGCAACGGGGTTTGCCAGTCGTGTTTCCCCAGTAGCCTCACTGCACAGGGACAGTAGAGAGCTTGGCCAGGATGATAGCTCCACAAATGGCAGTGGCTACTTCCTTTGAACACTTAACACCCAGACCAACATGTTCATTGTAGTCCCCATTTGGGACACCTGCCTTGAACTGGGTCCTCTGGTCTGTGCCTGCCTTCTTTTGCTTGGGCATAATCTTCAAAACCTAGTCCTTGAAGGATGCCCCCAAGAAAAAGTCAGTGATCTCAGATTCCTTGATGGGCAAGGAGAAGAGAAAGATCTCCTTCAGGGACTTGATCCTCATGTCCTTGACCAGGTAGCCCAACTCGGTGACAGGGATCCACTCCTTGTCCTCGGCCTTGCCTCCATGAGCTCAGCGGCCGCAACCCCGTAGCCTGGCTGCAGCGCCGCCCCGGCTGCCGCTGCCAAGTCCTGGAGGGAAGCCTGCTGCCGCCTCCCCTTCCAGCGTCCCAGGACCTCCCGCCCCGCCCCTACCAGTCATCCGCCATTCCGTGTTTCCTTGGAAAAGAAGAACCCTAATCAAATGTGTGTTTAATATAGAAATACTTAGTTGACAGAAATAAATGAACTACTAAATTAAATTTGATGTCTTTTCAAATGGTTTTAAGCACCCTACAAGTTTTTGCCTAATAGATTTATTTCTTTTTTGCATTGGATTGCCATTATGATTTAAATACTTAAATGTTAGGTTACTGTTCAGCCTTTAACAGTAATATAATAAGCATTTAAAGTCAGTTAAATGAGAAAGGACTTCATTGGGTAAACATAGTAATAATGTGAAAGGTTTCCCAGCTTTTATTTTAAAGCAATACATTGTTCTCGTGCACCTGCAATAGTTTTTCTTTCTTCTTTGGAGCTGTAATTTGGTTTTATTTATAGTTTCTCTCTTTTTCACTTCCTCCAGGACAAAATAAACAACCATTGTATAACTTAGTATGGATCCCTGGTTTGGACAAATTAAGCAATATGTGTTTAATATAGAATGTAACTAAAATAAGTAAACTCCTTTTCATACAGTCACTATTATCCAGCAAATATAATTTTTAAAAAATGGTTATCCTAAAAAAAAGAATTGTCTACCACCACCACCCACCATGCAACACTCAAATTGGAAGGTCGCTCTGATTATGGACACTTTGGTGATGGCTTTGTTTCCAAGATGGTCTAGGACTCACATGAGATCAGGACCTCCTCGCTGTTTCACGAGGGCTTGGATATATGGCAGTGAACCTTACATCCCTGCGTTTTACATAAGTTTATATCAAAATGAGGGGGAAATACAGGAGGTTAGGCAAGTGTGTTCCTCAGTCTGTCTGTTGCTGTTTTCTATGCCTCCAGCAGCGTTCTGTGTGTGGCTGAAATTCTGCAAAAGATTGGAGAATACAATGGGAATTCTGCGTGTACAGAAAAATGGAATGGGTAGAAAAACTGGCTAAGAGTCGGTAACTGAAAGCAAATAAAGAGTAACTAAACCTCTGTGGCTGTTACGGCCGCTGTCTGCACAGGGCAGCAGCTCCGCAAATAATTTCTTTCATTAATCCCGCCTCTAACGCCCGGTCCCTCCGGCAGGTCATGATGATGGGCAGCACTCGCGTGGCGAAGCTGCTGCTGCTCCACGGCGCGGACCCCAACTGCGCGGACCCCGCCACTCTCGCGACACCGGTGCACGACGCCGCCAGGGAGGGATTCCTGGACACGCTGGTGGCGCTGCACCGAGCCGGGGCGCGGCTGGACGTGCGCGACGCCTGGGGCCGCCTGCCCGTGGACCTGGCTGAAGAGCGAGGCCACCAGGACGTCGCCCGGTACCTGCGCGCGGCAGCAGCGGGCACGGAAGGCGCTGGCCACAGCGCCACGGATGCCGCGGAAGGTCCTGCAGGTGAGGGGGCCGATCTAAAAATTAGATCTAAAAATTTGGCGTCCGAAAGTCCGCCTCAGCCCAGCGCACTCCCATCCGGAAGAGAACGCGGGCTCCGGGAGAGCAGAGCCTGGGTCTCAGCTCGCCGCCGAGCCGATGGGGACAAACCCGCGTCCCAGCCGCGCTGCCTTTCCGGGGCGAAGGATGGGAAATGGCCTCGGACGGACTTTCGGCCGCCAAACCCATCCCATCGGCCCTGCCCCCTGCTCCCCAAGCGCTCATCCTCCCCGCAGCCCAAGGCGTAAACCTTGAGCGTAAGCTCGAGAATAGAAGTGCAGTGGCCGCGTCCATTCAGGCGCCCTCGGTCTCTCCATTGCGTTACTTCGGTCCCTGGACCAACGCTGGGACTTCCAAAACCAGTCAGGCTCGGCACCGTCCGCAGAGAGCTGTCATTCCTGTGTCCGTTGCAAAATTCTTCTAAATCTCCCCTCGGGGCCTCTGGGGGTGTGGGCGTCTGGGATAGAGACCTCTCTGACCCTGGCAGCCTGCACTCCGGGATTTGCTGCAGGTTCTGGGAAAAAAGGCCCTTTCACGAGCTTCCCCTCTCGTAAGCTTTCCGCTCGTGAGAGAGGAGAGATCGCTGGGAGGGAGGTGGATGTGTGGCTCTTACTCCCGTCTCCTCCTACCCCCGCGGAGACTTGCCCCGCGGCTTCGCTTCCCCACCTGCGTTCCTGCCTGCCTCCGTGCCAAGTTTAATTGTTTTCTGAAAGGGGGGGGGCTTTTTAAAAATCAAAATACATATAAGCAATATATGACGTTTGCACGAATATTTAAGGTAAACATTGACTTTGAGATCTATTCTATGATCTATTGAGATCTATTCTATGGACTCAGACCTGGGGCACCAGTGGGGCCTCAGGGGAGCCGGGGACAGACTGGAGAGGCCGGCTCGGGGCCCTGGGCTGGGAGGTGCCTGGAGCGCAGTGCCTCGGGCGCTCGGACGGGGTGGTGGTGGGGGACAAAAGTCTCCTGTACCCTGCCCACCCTCTCGCGCCTCCAACTGAAGCTTGTGTCCCACTGTCAGACCGAGACATGCATAGGATGAGAGGCCAGTCACAGGAGCAAGAACTGGGAACAGAGACGGAACAGAGTTAGATATTGAATTGAACACCAGTCAAATGAAAATTGGGTAACACTTTATAATTAAACCTAAGATTTCTAAACCAAGCATGGAAGTCCTTCCTCCATTACTTCCTTCTTCCCTTCCTTCCCTCCCTCCCTTTAACTGAGAACCTACTACGTGATCTAGGTAGGACACAAAACTGAAGGACGGAAAACAGTAGTCCTGCCCTCAGAGAGCTTACATTCTGGGAAACAGATTTTGAACACCATAACCATGTGTTTTTAAGAGGGTGAATCTCTAAAACCAATGTGCTGGTCGAGAATGATGTGTGAATAGTGGAGGAGGCTATCTTAGCGTGGTCCGAGAACCTGACGGGTGACAAGAAAGGAGCCACTGGAAGCAGAGAAACTCTCCGGAGTGAAGACTGCGCAAAGGAATGGCGGGTCAGGAGCGTCGACAGGCGGGCGAGAGCGTGGACACCAGGAGATCAGGGAAGAGAGCAGGGGCCAGGTCGTGGCAGGGGCCGTGCGGGCTACAGAAAGCATAACTGGGCAAAATGCGGATTTTGTCCTAGAAGCGTTAGGAAGCCACCTGCTGACTTGGGAGAGGGACCTGTTTGGGGAGAACATCAGGACCGGCACCGAGGGTTCCCAGACTGCCGCGCTGCGCCTGAGCCAGAGTCTGATGTCGCTGGTTGACTGAGTCGCTCGCCAGCGTCGGGGGCAGGCGACGTTTGAGGACGCGCGGAGGCCGAGGCGACGCCTTCATTTCCCGGGGCCTGGCGTTGTGTGTGGGAAGCACTGCACGCCGGCCACGTACCGGGTTTTCTCCCCCAGCCCGCGCGGGTCCGCCCGTGCTCCCCAGGCCGTCTCCCTGGCGGGCGGGTCGCGGAGGCCGCGCAGCCTCGGCGGCTGCGGGCCGGGCTCAGACTCGGTGAGCAGACCCGCTGCGGAGGGAGGTTTGATACTCAGAGGTGTCCACGCAGGCGAAGCTGTCCTTGTCCATAAGGGTCTGAATACCTGGTTCGAGTCTGGGGGGCGGGGGAGGAGGAATGGATCGCACATCTTTGATTTCTGCTTTCTAACATCTTTTTTCCTTTCTGCCTTTTGCAGATCCCGACTTCGACAATCAATAACAGAAATAAGAGCACCTTGACCTGCGTGGCTCTGTGGTGTGGACAACACTCCGCAGAGTGAAAGGCAGCCAGAAGTCTCTGGTTCGATTCGGGTCAGGGTACATGATCGGGATCCAAAAATAAAAAAAAAAAATTTTTTTTTTAAAAAGCCAGACCTTTGGACTTTCTTGATCTTTAGTCGCTTCCCCTTCGCTAAATTTCCATCTCTATCTCGACCTCGGTCTTGTTACAAAAGGTAAAACAGCAACAACACTGCGCCTGCCTTTTCACTGGTGTGAAGTTTTCAGGAGCCAGTACGCAGGCCCAGAGAACAAACACTTTTGTACGAGAGCTTCCTCTTAGGAGCCTCGAAACCTGGGTGGATGAAACTGGGTAAAAAGTGTTGAGTGGGAACCTCCCATCAAGGTGAAGGGAGACCTCAGAATGACAGGCTCTCGGAGCCCGTTTGACTTTCTGCTTGGCCTTTCCACGCCCAGGATTCGAGACCCCCCTCTCCACCACGACCCCCCAGGCTGGGGTATTTTGCCCAAAGCCCCACAGCCAGCAGGGGCTCAGGAACACAGAGTCTGGCTCTGCAGCCCACTGGGGACCTTCATGAGTTGCCACCCCGTGCCTGGCCCAGCGCTTCACCCAAACCAAAAGCAGTTCTTACTCCTGGGCCACCCAGGGGTGCTGCAGGGACTGACTTCATCTTCAGCTGGGTGTGCCCCCCTGTTATTTATTGTTTATTGAGGTGCCATTCACATAACATCAGACTAATGATTTTCAAGTAACAATTCAGTGGCATTTAGAACACTCATAATGTTCAGAATTTACCCAGTTTCAAAACACATTCATCACTTCCAAAGGAGACCCCCATGCTCATCAGACACACTCATTAAGTCCTCCCTACCCCCAGGCTCTGGAACCACTAATCTCCTATTGTCTCCATGGATTTACCTGGAAATGATTCTACCGACATCAAAAGTCCAGAATTTCACATGATTCCACTTACTGAAATGTACTTCTGAAATACACAATTCCAATTCTGAAATGTCCACCCGCTATGTCTGTCTTTATGTCCAGTGAACAGTTTGATTAGTGTAGCTCTGTAGTATGGTTTGAAATTGGAAAGGGTGAATACTCCAACTTTGTTTTTCTTTTTCAAAATTATTTTTATTTGTGTCAGACTTGTACTGGGGGTCCCTTGGAATGCCACACAAATTTCAGAATCAGTTTTTTTCCATTTCTACAAAAGAAAAAGGGCCATTGAGCTTGTCACAGAGATTGCACTAGACATGCAGATCACTTTGGGCACTACTGCCATCTTGGTAATATCAAGTCTTCCAAACCCTGCACACAGAATGTCATGCCATTCATTTATGTCATCTTTAATTCTGTCTTGTAGTATTCAGTGTACAAGTATCACAACTACTTGGTTAAATTAATTCCTAAGTATTGTATCCTTTTTGATGCTACTGAAAAGTGAATTGAGGCCCTGGCTGAGCAGCAAGGTTGCTTAGCGCATCGTCCCCGTACACCAGGGTTTTCAGTTCCGTCCTCATGACGCCATCAGGGCACAAACAAGAATTAACCAGGGACTGCAGCAATGAGTAGAACAACAAACCAGTGCTGATGCTTCTCTCTCTCTCTCTCTCCCCCATTCCCCCCTCTCTCTCAGTTCCATCAATAAAGAAATTGAATTATTTTCTTAACTTCTTTTTTGAATTGTTAATTGCTCATGTGTGGAAATACAGCCAATTTCTGTGTTGTTCTTTTATCCTGCAGCTTCACTGAATTTGTTTTCATCCGCCAAGGAAGGGATGGGTAGTTTTGCTTGTTTCTTTTCAATCTATATGCCTCTTATTCCATTTTTCTTGCCTAGCTGTTCTAGCTAGAACTTTCTGCTTATAGACAATGCTGCTTATAGAATTTTGAATAAAAGTGAAACCAGACCTTCTTGCCTTATTCCTGATCTTAGTGGGAGATAACCTGAAGTCTTTCACCAGTGAATATATTAGCTGTAGTTTTTTTCATAAATGCCCTTAATCAGATTGAAGAAGTTCTCTTCTATTCCTAGTTTGTTGAATATTTTTATTATGAAAAAGCATTGGAGTTTGTGAAATTATTTTACTGCAATTGAGATGATCATATGTTTTCATTTTATTAATATGGTATATTACACTGGTAGATTTTCATATGTGAAGTCCCTGGCACTCCTGGGATAAATCTTACTCTGTCATGGTGTGTAAACCTGTTAACATTCAGCTGGATTGAGCCTGCAAATATTTTGTTGAGGGAATTTTGCATCTATATTCACAGATTTGGGGCTGTCGTACTCTTTTCTCGTCATATCTTGGTCTGCCTTCCACACAGGGCAATGTTGCGCACATTGAACGATTTGGTCTCACTGCTTTTTTTTTTTTTTTTCTCGTAAGAGTTTGAGAAGAAGTGGTGTTAATTATTCATTAAACCTTTGGTACAATTCACTAGGGAAGCTACCTGGTCCTGGGTTTTTCTTTGCCACCAGGTTTTTGAGTACTGATCTAATTTTTTATTTATGTTTTCAGATTTTTCCCCCCTCTCGAGTCAGTTTTCGTGGTTTGTGTGTTTCCAGGAATTTGCCCATTTAACCTAATTGTTCGTAGTTTTCTCGTATTGCCCTTTTTTCCCCTCTTAAAGTAGCTACTAATATCTCCGTTGTGCTGCGTTTAAGTCATCTTATCCCTGGTCTAACGTTCGTTTGGTTGCTATAAACTTTTGACTATCTTCCAGAATTCGCCCAATGTTGATGCTCACACTTTTTGGTGCTTCTGTGTAGGGATGGGCCCATGGAGCTTCTTCTTCTGCCGTTTTCATTGACAAGACTTCTATTTTTTGTTTTGTTTTAGCGCGGAATGACAAAATGCCTCTGATACGCCCAACTTTCTTTCGCCACACGTCCCCTGTGACTACGACCCAGTGCCTTCCCTCAGCGCTGCCTTCCCACTGTCTGGGTATCTGTCCCCACCATGTCTCTAAACCTCTCTAGCTGTAACACTCAGCTATCCCCCTCAAAGTCTCCGCTCCGTCCCTCATCCTTCTCCATCCCCTCTCCACCGCAGTCACTGCCGCCTTTCTTTAGGCGGCACACACGCACCCCCACACCCTACCCCTTCTTCTGTTTCGCAAGTTCCTTAGACGCAGTCACTCCCCTCCCGCTTGCTTGCAGGCGCAGCGAGTGCAGGGGGAGCCAGAGGCCCGGCCAGCGCTGGGGTAAGGTCCCCAAGTCTTCAGCCCGTTTCCCGGGCCCTCACTCGGGCACGTGCTCGCAGGGCCCGCGCTGCGCGCTACGGAGCGCGCGCCCCCGGCAGCCGGTTTAGGGAGGGACCTGAAAGTGAATTGCGCAACAGGGCTCGGGTCTCGAAAGTGCAGACTGAGAAACCGGGTTTGCAGGCGGGAGGGAGGCCTCTGTTTCTGGTTTAAAAAGAAAGTTAAAAAAAAAAAAGAGAGAGAGAGAGAGAGACTAGGAAGGTGAAAGAAAGAGAAGCTGCGGGGGGGCCTTTCCCACGATAACGGACGAAACTCCGGAGCCAACCGCCCTTGGCAGATTTAAAAAGGCACTGCTGATCTGATGTTGAATTGAAAAAATTCAGCTTCAGGGGATCAGCTAGGAGCCCACGGGCCAGGAGAGCTGGTGTGGGCCCAGTGGCGTCCTCAGTCCGGTCCAGGGACGGAAACTGGCTGTGGATCCCTGGTCCCCGCTTACCCCAGAGCAGCAGGCGGGGCTTCCTGCACCTCCTCCCAGATCTCACAAACTGGACTTAAGCAACAACGTTCAAGTAATAAGCATGAGCGAGAATGTTGCATGGTCCCTCTCCTAGCTTCTGGGGTTTGTGAGACTCCTCGGTATTCCTTGGCTTGAAGAGGCCTCACTGCAGTCTCTGGCTCCATTTCACAGAGCATTCTCCTCAGGGTCACTCGGTGTTGTCAAACCTCCCTCTCTTTTCTCTTGTAAGTACATTGGTACATCTGGTAAGTACATTGGCATTAAGGACACTCTAAATCCAGAATAAACTCAAGCTGAGATCCTTCATTTAATTACATCTGCAGAGACTCTATTTTAAAGTTAAGTTTACATTCATAGATACTGAGGGTTTGGACTTTGGACATACCGTTTTGGGAGATGCTATTCGACTTAGTACACTGCCTAATTCATTGACTTTTTCCCCTAGACCCTGGGGGGAGGGGGGGAGGTACACAGGACCAAGGGATACATTTTTCAAAGATGAGCCCCAAAGCCCAAAAGCTCTTGCAAGACCTGCCTAAAACATCCAGACTCTCTGATGAATAAAGTTGGAGCACTCAGTGGATATGAATTTTTAAACTAAGCCAAAGAAAATAAGGATTTGACTTTTGTGGCCATCAGAAAAAAAAAACTAGACAAGATTTCTCCCCCGTAAACTGGGATGAGGACACTCACAGAAATGATCTCTTAATAAGACCAGGTGGATAAAAGAAGATAAATTGGGACACAAGATTAACTCACACTGGTATTGAGAAGAAAAGCTGAAGAGGTCTTTCCTCCTGCAGAGTGGGGGCCGTCTTTCTGGTGCACCCTCTTGTAGCGAAATCAGACACAGTTACAGGACACAGTCCTGGTTCAATGTCACTAAAGACAATTAGCATTTCTTTCTATTTTTACAATCACTGTTGTAAATAATATATCTCAATGAATTGTTGCAACTCCCTATAAGGCACTACTATTCCATCTTTAAAATCAGAACATAGAGAATCTGAGGTATCACACAATTTGCTGAGGGCATGGAAATCCTCCAGGCCTTCGATAGTGAGTGATGCAGAGACTGACTGCACAGGCTTCCTCAACTAACTGCTATTACCCTACCCATTTTACAAACTAGGAAGCTGAGGCTTTGAGTTGTGCTTTAACTGGGCAAACAACATACATTTACTGAATGGCGGAGCCTAGTTCTGTCTACGAGAGCATAGACTATGCCCATTAAGGCTGACATTGCTGTGGACTGGATAGTCTAGGTCCTTTGACCATTCTCAAAAAGACAACTGAGATTAAAGCCACGCTGATTCTCATGCCTGTTTTCCTCAATCAGAGAACTCAGTATA